AAAAGCCCCCCACGGGGGAGGATCCCCCCCCCCCCGCATCTGCTCTGCCGGGTTGTACACGTTGACACAAATGACCGCGGCACTCGTTTGCAATCCTTTTCACAAAGACGCATCAGATTAGGCGAGTTGTTTCCATCAAAGTTGCCGTTTGTGTTCCTCCCTCAGTGCTTCTATTGACATGGTAATGATTCAGTTAGCGGTGACTTGATGTGATAAGCGTGAAGATGATGGCCGGCGTTAGCATTTCTCATCTGTGATCACACAGGGTGTGTAACGTGCGAGTCACCAGATGTGTCTACATTAGCATTGGAATGTGCTCTCTCAGTTCCCTTGTAGTGGGATGTGTGTTTAAAATGGCCCCCCCCCCCCATGGGCTTGAAAAACTTATTGTAAACTTTAAGTTTGTTCAAAAATGAAAACAAGCAATTGAGTTTCCAGATATTCAATATATCTTGCGTTTTTAACAACGGAATGTAGAAGATCTGTTGGAACGACATTGATGATTGACAACACTGTCATGCAAAAGCGGACGTGCCGGGGCCTATACCAGGTGTCTTTGGGCAGTAGGCGGGGAAACCCTGAACTGGTTGCCAGCCCATCGCTGGGCACACACAGACGAACAACCATCAGCGCTCACGCTCACACCTAAAGACAATGTAGAAAGAGTTCCATTAACCTGCCGTGCATGTTTTGGGAATACGGGAGGAAACCGCAGTACCCGGAGAAAACCCAGGCAGGCATGGGGACAAACTCCACGCAGTAAGGTCGCTGCCGGAATCGGGACAATGTAGAAAGTGTTCCATTAACCTGCGGTGCATGCTTTGGGAATGCGGGAGGAAACCGCAGTATCCGGAGAAAACCCAGGCGGGCATGGGGACAAACTCCACGCAGTAAGGTCGCTGCCGGAGTCGAACCCTTCACCTCTCTACTGTGACGTGCCAACCAGTTTGTTGTTGGCTGGATCTTTAGACTTGCACACACACACACACACACACACAAAACATCTAAACCTAACCTCTGTAAATCACAATTCACGATGCTGAGATAGTATCCTCTAAATGGTCGATGCAAACAGTTAAGTTCGGTCTTTCAGTGGATCACAGTTCATACGGGGATCCTACAGTAAAACATTTTTGCACCACTGTTTTCGGTGAAAACCTGAAGCGATGTTGTGGCAACGTAAGATGGCGGCCCTATGGCATCGCCCGCGAGGGACCCATTGCTTATATTGAAGTCCGTGATGAAAGTCGACAATTTTTTCCATACACTTTAACTACCTGTGGACCGTATGAAACCTTTTTTTTTCGTTAATACATGAAAGACCAAGAAACCTTACTGTTGCCATTTTCAAGACATTTGAAGAGTGAGAGAAAGAGTATGTGTTGGGGGGGTGGGAGCGGGGAGGGGAGAGTATGACGTCATATAGCCCTGACAGAAGTGCTGAATGATTGGCCGCGCCCCTACACACGAGCCAGGAAGGGAACGGGGAGTTAACGTCGAGAAAGAAGAGAGGAGTCGAGGCGGCTGGAAGACGTGCTCGTCGGACACATTGTCTCCCGTTTAGTCCTCTTGAAAATGGCTTATCACAGTCCTTACAGAGCTCCCCCGCATATCAACACCCCTCCGGATCAGAGCTTTCTGTGGAATATCTTCCAGAGGTGAGTACGGGAGAGGCCAGCGTGTCGTCGACTACGCTCTTTTCACTTGACAGCTCGCGTTGTCTTTTGGTTTGGTTCTTGTTTTTTTTTTTAACTCAAAAATACGGCTAAGGTGTGATTGCGTCGCCTCAGACTGAGGCTTCCGGGAAGTGCGCGACCTCGGCAATGTGCGCGGAAACGTCAGCGTCACTCCTAAGGTCACTTCCCCAGCAGCGTAGTGACGTCACAGAGCCGCATCGTACGAGGACTACCTCGAATTGAATTTCCCTCACAGGGCTGGCGGTAGTTCGTCGTGTAGGGACAATTCATTCACTCTATTGATATAATTTACAGACAGTAATGTGAGCTAAAAATGCACAGTGTTAAATATCGACTGAGACAGACATCATCGACCGTATTAGTTCATGTATCAAGGTGCCGCCAGACGTCGCTTTACTCCATAGCCTTATGTAATACTGCAGATGCGCTGCTTTGTTGCATTGGAATGCTGCAGGCTTAACATGGCGCACAAATTATTGATGTGTGGTGCAAAGCCTCTGCAGAAAGCGGGCTGCTTTCAAGCCGTTTCCCCTCTCCCGCTGTCTGCGTGCGTGTATACGCTGTCATGGAAAGTCACCGTGAGAAGACACTTGACTGACGAGGCCCAGTCATCCTCACGAGTGAGCCGCCTCATCTGCTGCCTCTCACTGCTGACGGTCTCTGGAATTCCCTCAGTCACACCATCAGAGTCAACGGAGCTTAGTTGAGGCGGGAGGCCTCTCCGCCACATACGAGAATGAGTCACCATACGCTGCGTTGGACTTTGGAAAATCCATTTACTCTCACTTGGACATTTTTGTTTTCTGGAGAGACTGCAGCGGTCAGTCAAGCTTTTCACATGCACTCCCATGGACTCGGTGCCCGACGAGTCACGAAGAAGCAGACGGCCGGGTGACGTCTGACAGAAATGTTTCCATAACGCAGTCCCGGCCGGGGCTTTGAGAGTCAAACAGAGTGAGAGACAGATACGAGTCTTCCTGACAGCGCACACGTCAACAAGCGGGTACTCGAGGCAGACAAAAATCTTGAGGATGCCCAAATTAGTGGACATCTTGTGTTTGTCTTTCGGGACATTTCGATTTGGATGTGGCAATTTTTCCCTCGCGCAGTTTGCGCACCTTAATTAATTTGGGGCGGTTTATTTGGAAAGTAGCCATGTTCCATTTTCCAACCCGACGGGTTCCCGATAGGAAATAAAACGTGGGCAGAACACACCGCTCAGTCATCGCTGTTAAAGAGTTTATTCAATTCCACCTTCTTTTCCAGTGGAACGACCAGATGGTTGTCTGTCACGGCTTCGGGCAAAGCGCTTCTTAATGACGTCTTTCATTTTGGGCTCCCCGGCAAGAAGGCTGCGCTCGGCGACCGAGTCACGTGTGCGGCACAGTCGCGGCTTTGTCTTGTCGCTGTTTGGTCAAGGTTGGGTAACGAGCACCGATCCAGACTTGGCCTCACCTCCACAAAGCGGCGCTTCATGGAAATGCTCCCAGTGTTGCTTTTCCTTTCCGAGGACCCCCATGTTTGCGTTATTTATGTCAGGGGGGTGGGGGGAGGTTTGGCTCCAGCTCCTCGTACGCAAGCAGAGCAGATCACATACAACCGGATATGTCGTGTCACACCTACGAGTGAAAAGCCTGCCTGTCAAGTATGCATTGGGCTGGGTTGACTTTTTTTCTTTTTTTAATAACTGAACCTAGAGGTTTCCCCAGCTCCTCCCCGACTGCCTCTGTTTGAAGGGTAAGCGCAATGTTTACTTGCTGCTAAGGAACAACTGAGTCACATTTTGGTCGGGCAACATTTCACAAGTATGAAGCTCATAAGTTGCGCCCGTGACCTGTTCATGATGTCATGACTCAGTTAGGTTTAAGGTTTCTTTTTTTGGGGGGGCGGGATGGGAACTCTTACCTGGCTGACGGCTTGGGCTGTCGCTTCAGCCTTCGTCAGAGCTGTCACCACTTCCCTGTGACGTGTCTTCAAAACAGCCGACCGGGCCAGGTTACCCTAAAAATGAGGCTGCCCGACCTGGTTTGGTGAGGACACACTCTTGGTCTTTGGGCTCATCGGTACCAAAAGAGACTGAGAAAAACACAATTTTGCGTGATATTAGAAGTGTAGTTTTCCAGAAGAATTTGCTTGCTTTCTAAATTGACAGCATGCGAATTTTGAGGTTGTGTGATTCTTCAAACCTGAGTCGACACGTCACATAGCCGACCGATATTTTGTTTTTGTCGCGGGACTAGCATGCGCACGCACGCGCGCGCACATGAATGTCTTCAGTGGAGCGTGTTTGGAATGTCCAAAATGTCTTTTGTGAACCGTTGTCTGAGTTTTAGTCGTCCCGTGAGGATGAGCTGTCGATCACGGCCTCGTGCGCAAGAGGATCGTTCTTTTGTTTTCACAGCCTGTTTTAACGCTGTTCCGGGTGTGAAGTTGTTTGTGCAGGTGACATGTAATCCGTGCTCTCCTCTCTCCGCAGGGTGGACAAGGACCGCAGTGGGGTGATATCGGACTCGGAGCTCCAGCAGGCCTTATCCAATGGTAGCACACGCACGTCCGACTGTTTCCTCTCGTCTTTCCTTTCTTTCCCAGCTTCTTGGTAGATTTCTCTGTAGTCTTTTATCGCTCCACAATTAGGGAAAATAATCGGGCTGTGCTCGACGTGCACTTGCCACACGCGATCTCTTGACTTTGAGACCCTAAAAAAAAAAAAAAGTGCAAAAAGATCACAGCCGAGACCTCTGAAGCCCAATTAGGACAAGCGCGCAAGAAAATGGATGGCCTGTATTTCAGAACATATTGCCAAGTGTGTGCTGATGACGAAGTGAAAGTGAGCTCAAACACTGGGCATTGACAGGTATTGTGTTCCTCTCGTTTTTCTCAGGCACGTGGACGCCGTTCAACCCTGTGACGGTGCGCTCCATAATCTGTAAGTAACTCGCCGATGTGGCCGCTTCCCTCTGCACAACAGGCTCTTTGTGCTCTTGCCTGGCCATGGCAACTGGGTGAACACACGCACGACAATGTCAGCACTCGCCCGTGGCCAAAGGGGACCGCGAACGTGCGCTTGAGACCATTGCAACCCTTTGAGACAGCCAATTCGGAGGAATGAATGAATGAACGAAGAAGACAACTTACGCTGGTTTCTGTCTCTGTCCTTCAGCCATGTTCGACAGGGAAAATAAGGCCGGGGTGAACTTCAACGAGTTTGCAGGCGTGTGGAAATACATCACGGATTGGCAGAACATCTTTCGTACCTACGACAGGGACAACTCGGGCTTCATCGACAAGAACGAGCTCAAACAGGCACTGACCGGATTCGGTGAGCTGCAAAGTAGGCGCATTTCCTTTTGCTTTGTGTTGGTGGAGGGCTCCCCTGCTGCTGTCAACAACTTTTCCCCGTGGTGGGCTAAGCGGTCAGATCGAGCACTTTTGGCTACTTGGGGCCTGTGAGTCATCTTGGACCGACACGGTTTTTTCCACATTTTTTTTGGTTCACTTGTACTGCAAAACTAGTCACCGCACCCCATAATGATTTTTCAGAGCTTTGTCAATTGTTTAAAATGAAAAAAACTTGAGGCTGTGATCGCTGCTCTCGGTATATCAAGTATTGAGCAAAGGCCTAGTTCAGCGATGCCCAACCTTTTTAGAGGAAAGATCTACTCCTTTTCAAGCAACCGACCTCCTGCGATCCACCCGTTGGTTACACGCGCACACGCATGCCATGATGAGCAACGGCCCCCTAACATGAGCGAAACAAAAAACTATAAGGTAGATCCAAGAGTTTCTGAATTGGTGAAAAGGAAATCGCTACACAGCTTAGCGGGACACCTTGACGCCCAGGCACTCACCTCAACTCTGCTGTATTTCTCGAGCACTTGAAAACAACCACCCTTGTATACAAAGTGCTGTACATGGAGCAAATATCATATATATACAACAAGAAAACCATCAATGGACAGCAAAGACAGTAGACGGCACAAAACAGTTCAACTTTGCAGGCAAACAAAAGAATCAAATGACGGAGCCTCTGGTCAGCTGACTTTGGGCGACGGTGGGGGACATGGTTTGGAGCAATTCTCAGGAGACTTAACAAGATCCCTTTTTGCTGTTCGCAGGCTATCGCCTATCGGATCAGTTCTACGGTACGCTGATCGAGAAGTTTGATCGACAGAGGAAGGGACAGGTGGCCTTCGATGACTTCATCCAGTGCTGTATCGTACTTCAGGTAGCGTCATCATGATGAAGCATCCAAATATTGCCTTTTTGTTGTTGTTGTTGTTTTTATAACCACAACAAAAAAATGTATTTCTTTAGTAACTGTCCTGCTCTCTTCCACAGAGGTTGACGGATGTTTTCAGAAGGTACGACACAGACCAGGATGGCTGGATCCAGGTGTCCTATGAACAGTATCTATCCATGGTCTTCAATATAGTGTAATGGCACACTAACGCGGCCAAGAGGAGCACAACTAACTGGACAGAATTGTGCACTTGCCGGATGTCCGCCATGATGGACGCTACAAGATTCCTCCCCCAAACCTCAATGACAGCTGACCCGACGTTGGCCCTCGCTCACGCACATTTATAGGGTTGACGCAAACGAGAGAATAGCCAAGGTGTGTCCGAAAAGTTCTGGGATTGGCGACACAAAATATATTTCAAACACAATCCTCCCTGGGGTCGATAATGCACTTTCCCATCCTTCAGCACTCCTGGGAGGATTCTTCCGTTGCCCCTCTTGAGCTTGGTCACAAAGGAGAAATCACACAAAGTCAGGCCAGGCCGAGTAGGGAGATGACGTCAGGCCAGCCACGTTCTTCTCAGACAGGAACTGTCAGATGCTCAGGGTATTGTGAGCAGGCATGCTTTCATGGTGACGCAGCCACAAGTGGTCCTGCCGCAACTTTCGCCTCCTCTCGCGCACTAAATGAAGCAAGGTGGTGTGCTCGAATTGACCGTTTGTGTGGACAACATTCAGGGCGCTCAGAGTTAGTAGCTGGGGTTTCGAATATATCTTTAGTGACCCCAGTCCTGGAACTTTGCTGACATACCTCATCTTAGAGGCCTTTTGCGTCTGTCCCTCGCCCTCTCCCAAGTTGCAAGTGCGAACGTTTATGTACCGGTATTTAAAAAAAAAAAAAAAAATCTTGTCGTGTTTTGCAAGAGTACCAGTCCATATTTATGTATGTATGGGGCACTCCAAATTAGGGATTACAGTGGTGTCTTGAGATATGAGTCACCCAATAGAAATGTTTTTAGATCAGATACGAGCCATCATTTGGCCTTTTTTTTCTTCTTTGACTTGCACGCTCAAATTTGCGATACGAGCGTTTTATGGTGTCATTGAAGTCAAGTCGAGTGACCTCACGATAGCGCCGAGTGTCTGTGTGAAACGGTGTGCGATGATTTAGAGCAAGCAAGCAATTTGAGTCGCGATCAGCTTTAGGGAACGTGTGCCATAGAAGCCCTTTCTGCCTGTTGTTTGTTTGGCTACCGGAGATTCCCACGCCATCCCAGTGGATGGCTCTCCTGCATCCCCCCCTTTCCAAGGTCAGGCGAGACAAATTTTGGCAACCTATCGTGGATTCCACTTGGTCTGCATGCCAACTAAAATCCTCACAATAGGCCGACATCACTTATCCAGCTAGCTAGCAACGCTTTTTGGGCGGGCAAAGATGATTTATTCCCGCTATGTGCGCGATAAACATGGAAATCATCAAATCGAAAACCGTGGGATTCGTAACATCTCAATGAACTGCGTATCCTACTTGTCTTTCGTACACTGCCCCCAAATGGCCAAGGCATGCGCACCGATGGAGCAGGCATATCATGCCAAATCAACCTTTTCTTTTTTGTCTAGCTCTCAGCTTTGTTAAAATGCCAATTCCTCAGCAAAAACACCCTCAAGGTGGTGTTTTTCCTCCCTTCTTGCTCATGCCTCCTCTTGAAGCGCCAACGCCCACCCATCCATCACAAAAAGTGAGGAGCCGCCCATGCAGACGAACCACACCCGCCATCTCGCTCAGAGCAACTTGCCCGTGCAACTTGAGCTCACTTGTGGCTGTTCTGATTTCGGTACTTTTCAAATAAATTGTCAAATGTTTCCATGTACCCACTCCAATGTCGTCAGGTACCAGGCCTTGCTGTTTGGTGTATCCAGTGAGTTTTTTTTTTGTTTTGTTTTTCGTGTCCATTTGGGATGTTCTACTCCGTGAGCGCTCAATGTACGCACCGAGAGTCGACTGGCGAATGTGAGTGAGTCAAGCCGGGACGGAGTTTTTGTGAACCAGGGGTCTTTCGGCTTGTAAAAGTAATTTCAAACAATTTAGATCGCCCTTGGGCCAAAGGAAATATGGAATCATATACCGTATATGGCTCTAATTAACTTTGGAAAGCTTCAAGTAGCTTGGCACAGACCCTTTAATTGATGTGGTGGGACCAAAAAAAAAAACGTTACATTCTCTTCATGTATCATTATTTTACGGTTTTATAAAACATTACGGAGTGCTATTTTCCTGTCTATAATACATTTTCACGGAAAAGGGTGATTTGACATATGAGCGTTTTGAGTTATTAAACTCTTATCTCAAGGGACCACAGTTTTACTATTGACACAACGTATTTGTAGGAGTCGGTCTGTCTGTTATTGTCATTTTAATGTCTTAACTTTTATTAGGATCCTAAGGAAAACGCTTCGTTAGTACCAGAGTCGTTTGCATGATTTTCGGGTTTTTTTTTAATCCTCAAGTTGTAGCATGCTCTTCGACTTTCTCTCATCTCTTTCCTTCTGTTTAAAGCCATGTTTACAAATACTGTGAAAGCAGTGCTGCGTCCTGCTTTAAAAGTGACATGCCAGCTTACATGCCATATTTGTACAAAGTTATTTTTAAACATCAAAAAAATATTGCAAGAGATCGCGCATAACGCCATAGGTATTTCTTATTTTTGTGCATGATGCCTTAAAAGAGTTTGAAAAACAACAAGTGAATTCTTTCATTATAAACAAAAACAACGAAAAATGAATGTGTGTGTTTTTTCAACATGCCAAGTCAACATCACGTGAAAGCAAATGCCACTTGGCTCAAGGGCGCCCACTGCTGTTTATTAGAAATTCCGAACGCTGGGATGCCCCACAGTCATGAAAATGCGGCATCATTCAACAACAACACTTTTCAATGAAACATGAAAAATACAAAGCCGACTAAAAAAAAAAAAAGCAACGCGCAGAGAACTGTACGTAGGAGAACCACGCCCCCCGAATAAAATCCCACTTCATTTCACATGGGCCAAAATCGGTGGGCGATTGCACGACAACATGAAATTGGAACGGGAAAGTTTGATAGGAACCTTTTGTCCCGTTGCTCTGATATCCGGAGGGAACTGTGAAAGTGTTGCTCATTCACAGCTGCAGCGGATTCACGTCAAAGTTTTAAAGTAGTTCCGAGGACGTTTAGTTGCATTTTTTTTTTTTACAGCGGTAGTTTTAAATTTAAAGCCGTTCTTTTTCTTCCGTAAGACCACGAACAATGTATCCAAAACTGGTCCGGACGGGAGCGTATCGAAATACTCTTCTTTCTGGTGTGCCACTCAAACACCTGGCGCCGAGAAGGTCCTTGTGCGGAGCAACGAAAGGTACAAACCCGCCGGCCCCACAAATACGCGTCACACGAATCAATTTGTGGTGTGACCATCTGGTCTTGCCTATCAGAACGGATCACCGTGGTTGTTGATGCTTTGTTTTCACGCGTGTTTCAATGACGGAAGTGGCCACTCCACTGCTGCTTTCCATTTCATCGTGATGCAATTCGTTGCAATTTTGTGACCCGCTTTCAAAATCAGCGCGAAACAGGGCCACGCATCCCCTTTCACCAGATTCCCTATTTTCCGATCTCGACGATCCCTCGCCTGATTCCACGGCCACGGTCGAAAACTTTTCTGACCGCAGAGAAAACAACTTCTGTGCGGTCAGGCAACCACTAGTTCATCCAGGGAGAAATGCAAACTGTCTCAGAATCGCACCAAAAAACGTCAGATGTTGCCAGTTTCCGCAGCTCAAATTGACAACAAGTGTTATCTCGAGACTCTTTTCACCTTGAGTAGGTCAAGAACCACATATGCAGTCCTCAGACATGAAAGAAAAACAACTCGACTCCCACGCGAGCAAGTACGTGGCACCTTCCTTCAGGAAGAAAGCTCAAACAGAACTCGGACTCTGCGGGCCGACAGCTTGGATTGAGATCGACAGAGTACGATGGCGATAACGGTCCGCTTCCAACACGCGCCGTCACCGCGTCTTCTCGTTATGTCGTTGCGCGCTGGCGATGCTTTACGCTGCACGCGGTGTGGCTTTTAAACGGCCGGAGGTCCAACTCTGCACCCCTCTCTCTATTCTCTGCTATGAGGCGCGGGAGAGACTGTGGTGTCGGAGCGCAGGGGGCCTGTGCTCACCGTGGCCATAAACCGTCCCGAGGCGCGTAATGCGGTGAACCGGGAGACGGCGAGGCGTCTGCTGGAGGAGCTGGAGGCCTTCGAGCGGGAGCCGGCGTCCAAAGTGGCCGTCCTGCATGGCGTAGGTGAGATTTATGCGCTTGGCTGGATGTTCACGGAGTTGCTCGTGGGCGATTTTCCTTCGCCACAAATGACTGTTGAACATTTAATCCATTTCAACATGGGTGTCGCGTTTCCTTCCCTTCACTCTGCCACAACACAACACTGCGAGTGTTGCGAACAGAGTGTGTGGCGAGGGAGATAAAAACAGTGAAGCCGAAGTTTAAAAAAAACATCGGCAAGAGGAAATTCTCCTTGGCTGAGTCAGCGGCCACATTGGCAGAATCCTGCTCACGCGCAAATCACGTGTTAGGTGAAAGTAAATGGTCACTCCGGCCACTCCGCTGAAAATTCCAACAATGCTTACTGGCGAGCGGGGGTGAATCCCGCTCATGCGCAAATCACGTGTTAGGAGAAAGTAAATGGTCACTCCGGCCACTCCACTGAAAATTCCAACAATGCTTACTGGCGAGCGGGGGCACGCGCTAACTTTTTTTCCCCCCGGCAATTGCGACATTGCGCCTTTAGATGTCGCTGCACTAAAGACACGAGCGCGCTTCTTAAACACGCACAGGCACGCATATGGCTTTCGCAGGAAAAAAAAAAATCCCTCCCATCCACGATGCTTTCAACCCAGATCAACTGTCTGCGCCATCAAGTGGCCTCAAGCGAACCAGCCCATCCTCCTCCCCAGCATGGAGCCCGTTGTCAACTAAGAGAAATAGAAGCTTCCCTGCGACGGTTGGGTCCACAAAATATAGCTGGTCTCGGGATGTCAACGCACTGCAGTTAAGCACAACTGAGGAGGAGCTACTTGGAATGTTTTACATTCCTTGTATGCCGTTGGGCAGCACCCATACACACGCACACAAAAAATACCAAAAAAATCAGTTTTTTTTTTCATGCACATCATTTTCCTTTCCCTTTTGACTTTGCAGCTGCCACGGTTTCAAATTTTGTGGTCTCATTTGCAGGCGGCAATTTCTGCGCCGGGTATGACCTGAAAGAATTGGCCAATGGCGCAGCCGCTCTCAAATTGGAACAAGATGTGACCAAGGGTTCCGGGCCAATGGTGAGTGACAGGGGCTCGTGTGCCCAGCATTGCATCTTTCACCGAATCAAACTAAAACAAAGTAAAACCGCTCACCCATTGACGACATCCGACAGACCGGAATGAATTGAGCGCCTGATGGCGTTTCATAGGTTTGGATTAGTGCATTTGTGTCTGATTTGCAAAATGAATTTCTGTGTTTCATTGATTGAACAAATTGTATTGAGCCACTTGACCAGAGGGGTCAAAGTCATTTTTGTCGCGGGCCACGTTGGAGTGACGTCTTCCCTCGCGTTATTACTTGTACACAGCAAATTGATGGAGGACCAGTTTTGAAATCGCTCAAGTATAATAGTTTGTTCAATTCTTGCTCGTGTGAGTGAGTGTCAACAGGGTAACCAAATGATTCCCAAATCTCAGCGTTATTTATTACACGTGACAATTTGACATTTCGGTCCCGATTTGAGCAAGGACGACGCAAGTTTGACACGCATGATTTGCTTTCGGGGGCCCCCATAGAGTGACGCGGCGGGCCGGATCTGGCCCCCGGGTCTTGAGTTTGACACATGAGCTCAAACATTTTCTCTGTCGCAGAAAGGTAATGTTTTGGTTTCTTCACACTTTTCCTTCATCGCTAGCATCTTTCAGCAGTGGCATCATAAAAAAACAACAAAAAAACAAAACACACTTGCGGAGTTAATAAGGTGAATGAATGAAATAAAGTGAGTTGGGTTGCTCACGGATCTCAGGTCTCCCCGGATTTGTGTCATCTTGACGATGCAGTCGGAGCGCTGACGGGACATTTGAGAGCGACCACATGACCGCATGCGCTCTTGTGGACGAACGCTCTCATTTCCTGCAGGGTCCCTCCCGCTTGCAGTTCTCCAAGCCCCTGATCGCAGCGATCGGCGGATTTGCCGTGGCCGGAGGATTGGAACTGGCTCTGCTGGCCGATCTCCGAGTGGTGGAGGAGAGCGCCGTCATGGGGGTGTTCTGCCGCAGGTTCGGTAGGTCTGAGAGATTGTTTTCCACTGGAGCGTCCGTGGCGGGGGACCGCTCGAACGGCGCTCGTCCACGCTCGCTTGCTCAGGCTTACATCCGGTGTTTCGGGTACCGTAGTTGGAGGAACGAGAGTGCCCAAATGTCACTCTTCCTGATTGTCGCTCTTGTTTTGCATCTTGGGACTCGTAAGAGGGAAGCGCAGACCTCCAACTCTGATGTTTGAGAGTTCTTTTGTTCTTATTTCCTTTTCCAATCTTGAAATGGCAGAGTTTGCACGGCCTGCCCACGTCCGCATGAGCGGTTTCCTCGCTAACAACTCGCCGGCGGACGCATGGCCCAACAAAGAAAGCGTTTTGTTGACGTCGCGCGACTTCCTCCTCAACATTTGCCCTCTCGTGCCGTCAGCGCTAGCGGAGCCAGACCGCCGAGCGGCTCCCGTTCGACGATGACGGCATCTCTCATTGACGTGCTTAAAATATAAGTCGGGCGTGTCTAAATAAAAGTGCGACTCAATCATTTACTGGCGGCGTTTGATTTGGAGTGTCAACATGAAGGGCTCGTCGTGGCAGGCCTGTAATTTGAGCGGAGAGCGTTGCGGCGGCCGTGCCCCCGTCTGCCCTTCCGTGCATCCGCTCGGCCTGCGGACGTACTTATCAATCAAGGACGACGACGACTCCAAAGCCTTCAAATCTGGAGCGGAGTCTTTCATTACTGGACGCGCAGCCGTATTCGCTAAGTGGAGCGAGCGGCTGTTCAAAATTTGAACTGGTCTCGAGCAAACGAATGCAGGCCGGGTGCCTGGTGCGCGGCTGACCGTTTTGGGGCCGGCGGGCACCGATGGCACGGGCTGCAGGGAATCCCTCGACGGATGTCCCCCGCAGTCTGACGCGGGCCGATGGCGACCTTCCTGGCACCCGATTGGCTGAGCCGGCTTGCGGCTTCCTCTCTGCTGGGGCCCCTCGACCTCGCCAAGGAGGAAATGAGCGGAAGGCGTCACGATAGTCTGGCGGCGGACTGCGGTCGCCAGAGCAACGTGGAATCTGCTTCTCTTTTCTTTCAAATTGAACTTCCAAACACCCGCTCGTCCCCTTTCAACCATTTCTTCTGCAGTTGTCCGGAAATTGTTAATCCACATCAAACTTAATCGCATTACCCGCATTGTGGAGGTTGTTTTGGGGTTTTTTTTTTGTGTCCCTTTGATGTGGTTGAGGAGATGCCAGCAGCACCAGCAGCAACCTGGGACACCGTGCGTCCCGTTTCGCATTGTGTTAGCGGGTTGTTTTGTTGCTGTCTGTTGCTTCCGCGGAGTGTGGTCTAATTCTAAAATCTGACAAAAATAGAGATGTTGAACTGAAAAGAGGCAGCCAACCCAAAAGAGTGACTCAGACCCCAACAGCACAAAAAGTAGCATAACCTGGTCTGTAAAAAAAAAAAAAAAAAAAAGTTTTTTCTCCTTTGAACAAGAAAAAAGAGGAGTCCTTGTTGTGAATACGTTCTGGACTTCTGAGTGATGCCGGCTTCTCTTTTGTTGGCCCCCATTGCAAGATGAATTTCAAACGAGTCGCCAAGGCCACCCGCTCGCCCACTTGTGGACCCAAAACGCACGTCAAGAGAGCAAAATTCTGCCAACGCGAGAGACGAGCCTGTCGGTCGGGGTTGTCGACGGGGCCGGAGCTGGCGTGGAGAAGGGCGAGAGGTCGCCGAGGCCAACAGCCGCACGACAGGCCCGATTGCTTTATCCACGGCCAAAATCTGGAACAACGTTTCACATGACCACGCGGAAGAAGTGACGTTGAGATTTCACTCTTTTTGTTTTTTTTAAATGACCCTTTTTACCATCACATGAGCAAACTGCGAACCTTGACTTCGGATTTGAAAACAAGTAATCCATCAATTTGTCGTGTACAACCATATTTCATGATACGCTGAGACATTTGTTTCGTTTCACTGTTGTACCGGCCCTCTGAGGGAAGCCGGAACTACAACGTGGCCCGCCACCAAAAATGAGTTTGCGGGGGGGGGGGGCAATAAGAAAGAAAGAAAACGGCGACGCCGTTCAGGAGCCCCAACAACACAAAAACTAGAAAGAAAGAAAGCGGCGACGCCGTTCAGGAGCGCAATAAGACTCCAAACGGCAGGAAGCTCAATTACTCCCAGCAGTCGATTACGGTACGTGTGTGTGGAAATGATTCATGGACTCTTTTGGTACAGACGTGCGTTTATCAAGTACAATTCCAAAAGAAAAATGCACATTTGGAGGCTGCTGTTTAATATCCATCCATCCACACTCTGGACTGACCCCGTTGGTTATTTCCTGTCTCCATGGCCATTATCGCCAAATATTTGTGTATAGTTGGGGAAACTTTGTCAAAAGGTGCACGCGTGCGTGCGCAGGTTGTTACTGACCCCGTTGGTTGTTTCCTGTCTCCATGGCCGCAAACGCATGGAGTGTGACTATAATACCCCAAAATGTTTTGGATTATCGCCAAATATTTGTGTATAGTTGGGGAAAGTTTGTCAAAAGGTGCACGCGTGCGTGCGCAGGTTGTGTTGGAGTGCCAACGTTCCGTCCTTTGTCCTCGCAGGGGTCCCGCTGATTGACGGCGGCACGGTGAGACTCCCGCGGCTCATCGGTCTATCCAGAGCTCTGGACCTGATTTTGACTGGGCGCCCCATCGGAGCGCAGGAAGCGCTCGCGTATGGACTGGCCAACAGAGTTGTCCCAGATGGACAAGGTAGGCGCATCCAGCTCACCGCAACAGAAACATGAGACCACCGAGACAAAGCGTGAACGTTAGAAATGCTTGAGAATGGCCGGAAAGGAAAAGAGAAGACAAACGATGCAGAACTTCAAGGTCTCTCGCTCTCTCTTTTTGACTTCTTAGCGTAACAAAAATGTGAGGAGCACAAGCTCATCTATGGCACAATATTGGCCCAGGTTGGGTGACTTTGTCTTTCAGCGGACGCCCAAGCCATCCGCCCTCTCTTTGTGAGCTACGGAACGTGGCGTGAGCCGTTCCCGCATACGTGCGCGCCGGACACATAACCTCCGCCGCGAGGCGCGGTTTCCTCCGTCGCACGCACGTGGCTGCGCTCTCTTGTGGCTTTGGCTTCGAGGTCACAGTAGCAGCACGGCCACAAAGGCGCCCAACTGGGAGAATTTTGAGTCGGAAAGAAAGGATTCTCGGCGCTCGGCGTCCGTTTCCCGTCTGATGAACGGCCGCGTTGGCCGCACATCCCCTTACCTCCTGTGCGTCGCGACCGCAGGATTCCAGGCGGCCGTGCAGTTAGCCGAGCAGATCGGCTCCTTCCCGCAAGAGTGCCTGAGGGCCGATCGCTCGTCGGCCATCTACGGCTGCTTCGACGCACCCTCGTTCGCACAGGTACGCGCCCCCTTTACATCGTGGCAACCTCGTGCGTTTTGACAAACCACGACAGTTCGTCGTCATGAAGTTGTGAGAGGAATTGACTACGCATGGATGACTGAGTTGAAATGTTCTCTCCCAAGGCCATGCAGTATGAGATTGACCGCGGAGCACCAGTCATCTTGTCAGAAGCCGTGGCCGGGGCAACTCGATTTACGAGCGGAACTGGACGAGGAGGGAAGTTTTCGTAAGGTTTTGGTTTGATAGGAGTTGGATATGTCGCAATACTGTGGAAATATGCAGTACTATTCACGGAGTATGTGTGTGTGTTTCCTTCCTTCCTTGACTCTTCTGACGCAGCCTCTCATACCCATTAGCATCCATCCATTATTTGAGATGCTCATTCTTAATTTAACAGGACATCTGATTAGGATTATTACTTCATCATCAAATCGGAACTTACACATTTTTGCTCGATGTCAGAAAATGTGTTTTGTGAGCCAACTGTTGAAATTTTGTCCCTTAGTCTGACTCATTGAAATCATACCACCCACCCCCCCTCCCCCCAAACCAAGTTTGACGACACATCGGAACTTTGTATGACATTTGAAGATGCGAGGTGAGTTAAAACAACACCCCGCTGTACAGTGACACTGCTCTTCTAACTTCAGTAGTAGGATCATGCGGGTGATCGTGCGATAGATGTAGACACGCGCTAGCAAATGCCCCGTTAGGTCCTCAGGAGGTGTCCTGTCGAGACGGCGAGATGACAGACCACAGGAGTTCTGTTTAGTGATTCTTCCCGCGTCGTCCACACACGTCGCCTGCACTGCTGCCCCTTAAAGTGAAAACAAATGTTGAGGACCTCTGAAAGTGGTCTCATCTGAAGCGATGCACTGTACTCTGTATGTTGGGTTAGGATTGGCTCGTTGCCTTGGAGAACATCTGACACAAGGCTGATGCGCGTTGGATTAAAATGTATATCTGGAAACCAATTCTCCCACCATTTGTCTTCTTGCCAGTGGATAAAAAAAAATGTTCATCAAACTCAACCTCTCAAACCACATTAAAATAAATTCAGACGCTCGCACGTCTGGCTTTTAATACATTTTAGAATGTTGTGTCTGAAAGTCACCCGTGTGTGGATGGAGGGGAGCAGGGTGGGGGGGTAGCTTTGATGCTAGTTGTCACTCCTCATACACAGATAAGATAGACTCCAAGCAGCAGTGGCAAGAGACGCAGAGATCCCGGACACCTTTGGCAGCTTATCAGTGGGACCATCAACATCTGATGTGGCACCGTCAAGACATAACACAGGTTTGGGGAAAAGGAATGAACAGAGTGAGGGGCGGGGGTTGGAAGGGATTACACGAAGGTTTTGGAACAGCATATTTTTTCTCCCCAAGCAGCTTTGGGTAAGACTTTTAAAAGCAATATTTATCAGTGGGACCATCAACATCTGATGTGGCACCGTCAAGACATAACACAGGTTTGGGGAAAAGGAATGAACAGAGTGAGGGGCGGGGGTTGGAAGGGATTAGATGAAGGTTTTGGAACAACATATTTTTTCTCCCCGAGCAGCTTTGGGTAAGACTTTTAAAAGCAATATTTTGTGCATGCGTGTATGATATATAAAATGTGTGTGTATTTCGAACTACTGGATTTCTGGGGTAGGCAACGCATTGGAATCTACAATATTAAAACCTGAATTGGACTCCACCTCAATGACAACAATATAAATATTGTTAGTCTACCACAGGGGTGTCCACATGTTTTTGTTTGAGGGCCGCTTACAGAAAAAAAAAACTGGAAGGATAAAGGCTCACTTTCAAATGTGTCCCCTTTTTCAAACACGCTCAAGTCAGTCAAGAAAGCAATTGTAGATTGATTGCGTTCAGTTCATATCATCAGCTTTCTGTTCAAGGTGTTGAGGCAAATGGTTGCCCTCGTTTTTTTGTTTTTTTTTGGGGGGAGGGCGGGGGTGGCCAACAACCTCGTAGCTCACGGAATGGATCCGGCTCTGCACTGCTTCTCCCGCTTCCCTGCGCTCTCGGATTCCACCTTTTGGCTCTAAACTCTGCACGGATGAGTCTGTACAGAAAAGCTGCCTTGTGGGCTCGAACGTTGCTCCGAGCTTGGGAAAATTCGCATTTGCCGAGCCATCTCTTGGAGCCGGATCACATGTCGGACACCCGACGTAGGCCGGCCAGTGTGCGTCGTGGCGCGTAGTTTCCATCTTGGCCGTCAGAGGTCGCACCTCAACTAGGGAACGTACAGTAGAGTAGAAGGGGCTTCCGCTCGCGGTGCGCCGACGCCTTCCTTTCTACCTGCGCGCTCGTGATTCGCCGGCCATTTCTGTCACGGTTTACGCTCGTACGCCGCCATTTGATCGATCGAAATGGAAAAGGAGTCGCAGCCGGTTGTACGCGTGGTGTCAGGCGTGTCTTACGCCGTCGCACTCGACGGAGAAGCGCGCGCTCACGCCGTCGGACGCCCCAAAACGAAAACGCGTTGGAAGAGCTCCACCTCTGGCCGACCGCGGACGGAGGGGGCGGTTTCGGGACGCGCGCGCGCATATTCCGGAGTGCAACCTGCTCGGCTGTCAGTCCGCGCGAGGAGGAAGAGGCGAGCCGTTTGGCTCTCGAGTCCGCGGGCAACTTTGGACCGCTTTCGAGCAGTAAAGCCGTCCGCTGCCATGACATGGCGTCATCCGTAGGAGTCGGCAGTTCACTCGCGCCCGCGACCGTCGAAGACATGTTTGTGCTGTGACCCGCTCCCGCAGGCGCCCAGACCGCCGTCCCCACGGTGCACTTTGACCGCCGCGATGAGAACGGGGACAAACGCCGTTTTGCGCCGTGGCGTCAGGAAATAGCTCTCATGGCTTGAGGCCAGCGCGCCCTGCGGTTTGTGAGTTCTCAACCGGCGTGTTCTTGTCAACTTTTGGTCGCCGCTTGCGCACGTCCTTTTTCTTTCTTTTTGTTTGACCGCCCCCCCCCCCCACGCCCAACCTTTGGACGAGGCGACCGACGAGCTCGCGCAGCGGGACACCACCATGACCCCGGGTTGGCTCGCCTTGGTCGGATTGTGCTGGGGCGCCTACTACTGCGGCTCCCCGGCGGCGGGGGGGCACTCCTCGCGGGACGGGAGCGGCCGAGCGCAGCCGGGCCCCTTCGTCCAGCGGCGCCTGAGGACGCACGAGAGGAGGGAGATGCAGAAGGAGATCCTGTCCATCCTGGGCCTGCCGCACCGACCCAGGCCGCACGTGTCCCGGGCCAAATTCAACTCGGCTCCGCTCTTCATGTTGGACCTTTACAACAGCATCCGAGCGGACGGCGCGTCGGAAGGCTCCCGGCCGGCGCGGACCACCCGCGGCCCGCCGCTGGCCACCGTTGACGAAGCGGCCTTTCTCGACGACGCCGACATGGTGATGAGCTTCGTTAATTTGGGTGAGTCGCTTTGGCGAGTTGGAGTGAGTGGCGACAGGTGGTTGTTTGATTGTTTGTTTGTTTGTTTGTTTGTTGGGGGCGGGGGGCAACGGGGAGAAGGGAACCCACATCAAAATATTCCATTTTCATTTTTGTTGTGCTGACAGACTACCCCGCCCTCGTCTACACGTGGCTTGCGTTTTTCACGTCAATGTCTGCTGCTGCGATTGCTATTTGCTTGAGTTGCCTTTGTTGTGCTGACAGCCTCCCCGACCCTCGTCTACACGTGGCTTGCGTTTTTTCACGTCAAATGTCTGCTGCTGCGATTGCTATTTGCTTGAGTTGCATCCGCATTTTAGGACCAGAAAAGCCCTCGCAGGCCCCTTGCTTCCATTAGCAGCCGAGCGGTGTTTACTTGGAAGATAAACAGGCTCAAGGAGGCTTTGGGGCCACACCGATAGTCGTTCTCTTTCCAGCCGGATGTCCAAAAAGTGGCTTCTTAGAGCGCTGCCAAGAACATTCATTTCATACCACGCGTGAATAGCATTCGGCTTCAAGCGGCCCTTGACAAAAACCCCACATACGGTCTAGAGTTCTGCTTTGCTCTCCTCTGTTATTGCCGCTCAGACGTATGAATGTTGCGAGACGACGTAATGATCTTCCAAGAGAGGGCCGCTTTGAATTCACTTCTCCAAGTCCTTCCTGGCTTCCGGACCGGCGATGTTGTTTGTCTGTCTGCGCTTTACTATTCCCGTGCTGTGGCGGTTGAAATGTGCGCTTCCGTGCCGTTCCACATCTGGGCTCCCACTTTTGATGAATCACAACCCGTGCGTCTTTTGGCAACCGCCTCCCATTTTGAGTGGCCTGCCGTCCAAGCTTCCTCCGCGAATCGGAATTCAGTCTGCATGCGGTCGAAGCCGAGAAAAGATGGAGAACCTTGCATGACGACCGCGCGTCGGATTTGATCGAGTCTCGTTGCGGACTAAGACGCTCGCTCGGTAAGACGACGATTCCGGGTGGTCCCGCCTGGTTTTCAAAACAGGCCCCAAAAGTCTGGATGTCGTGCGCAGCACAACTTCAATTTGAAAGGAAGGGAGGCGAGGCAGCCAAATGTCTGAAATAACCAAGGGATTAGTAGCGCCGGATTCATCAACACTGGCCGCACAAGGCTTTTGTTTCCCAAATGGAGCTCATCAAGCGGGGCCCGCAGAAAGTCTGGGCGAGTCAAAGCAAATCAAAGGGAACGCAAAAGACGGCGACGATGTGATTCCAACCTTGCACAATTGGATTGTTGGAATCGATCGCCGACCCTTTAGCCTTCATTTGACCTTTTGGGCATTCAAGAAAACGTAACCGTGGAATGTCTGTCGCCGTTAGAACAAAATTCGCTCAGAGGCGCTCAAGAAAGGCCGAGTCTTCATTTCGCGATGAACGTTCCTTCACATGTTTAGCGGTGACATATGTGCTGGCGGCGCAAAGGAGTGTCCCATTGTGATATCGGATGTCATTGTCCCTTTTTTCCAGACAATTGTCTTTTTTTTGTCCCGAGGGAGGCTGAAGTGACAGCCAAAACTGTTTGATCCGTTTTTCTCTTCACCTAAAAAAACAAACAAACAACCAAACCTTCAACCCGATTCGACGAAGAAGACAAGATGCCCGTTGTAGCTAGCGTATGACGCTTAGTCCCCCCAAATTGCCTCTATGGTGACAGTTTGAACCCGGAATGGATTGATGGATATTTTCATGACTTGCGATTGGACAATTTCTTTTGAAACGCAAGCAGTGTGCAGATGGACCAGCGCTTCGTACCGATTGGCTGAACAGAGGTGGAAAGGAGACGGTTGTTGACAGTTCATGGGAGACCCGCTTCAACAAATGACAAATTCATGTCTTGACAGAATGCGCTCGTCACTGATTCACAAATCAGTCGGCGGATTGGGCTCGAGTTTCATCCTCAAACAAATTCTTGCCAGTCGTTTTTGACAATTCGATGCTGCGTCCGTGTGTGTGACGCTTTGGCTTGGAATGATGTCTTTAGCAGCCGCCTGCAACAGTAGCATGAGAGAGAGAAGGCGGCGCCAGCTCATTTTGGCAAATCTTCTCCCGAGGAACGGGCCGGCGTAGCTGCTGCTGCTGCTGCTGCTGCTGCGTTACCTCTCCGAGTGGACTTACCGGGACCTGCGTGAGCCCTGAGGAGGGGATGGGGGGGAGTGTGCCGCATGAGTCATGTACGGGCCCAGTCCCTTGTTCCCCTCAGCTTTCATCACACGGTGGCCATGAGCCGCTGTGAAACACAGCAAGTAGTGGAAAAACTCCTAATTGGGGACCGGGAGCATATTTTCCACTTGGTTTTTCATCTTCATTCCTAGAATAGCGCATTCATCCCTGTTTACCTTGCGGACGTCCCGCTTTCCACCAAGCTCCGGTCCGCGACGACACTGTGCGCCCTGTGACTCAGGCTGGGGTGACACACGGCGGCTCCCGACGTGTCCCAATGCGCGGCGGGCGGGGGCGGCGGCGGCGCTCAGCGCTGACCGCAGCGTCGGGCTGTGTCGGCTGTGACGGCCATTCTGTTTTTTTGTGGCTTACGCAGACAAACACTCACACACGCAGACTTTAAACATGAACTCACCGGTTTACCGCTTTCCTCTCGAGTGGAAAATGTGAGCATCTTTTCATGGCCGCATTTGTGAAGGGAAACGTCTGTGTTGTTGATCCTTGGGTTGAATTTAGCGCATATGGGAGAAGACTTCCGAGAGGGCTCTCGGAGGACTAGGGTGTCCAAACCTTTTGCCGGTCAAGGTTGTGTTTTGTACGGACCCCCAGACATGACTTTTTTTTTGCGGGGGCGCGGCATCGCATAGCAATACTGGAGGTGTAACAAGCTCTCTTACCCAAGTCAACAAGCCGGAGTCAGCCAATCCTCCATCAAGCATCTCCAGTTGGTCCGGAATTCTGCTGCTCGCCTCTTGACTGCCGCACACAGACGAGCAATCATTTGCGCTCACCCTCACACCTCGGGACAATTCGGAGCGCCCAATCAACCTGCCGCACATGTTTTGGGAACGTGGGAGGAAACTCGAGCGCCTGGAGAAAAGCCGCCTTGTTTTCCGTGCCCTTCCGTGACAATCCAATACGCATTCTGGCGGACAGACTTCAAGTATGTCTTCATCCAACTTGCGTCCCTCACTAGCCGGCGCTGGGTCTAAAGAGGAGACGCCTGAAACAACAAGCGCTGCTACGCAGTCAGAAAAAGGCTTCGGGGTGAGCTCTTGACGCTGCCGACGCTCCTTTTCGACCTCGCCGCCGCCGCCAAATTTACGAGCCCCCGGCTGACCCCCTCGCTCGGCTTTGCAAACACCACACGGGCAGCAGAACAATCGTCGGCGCATCGGCCGGTCGGAAGGAAGGCAAATGGAGGAAGGGACGGGATGGAGAGAGGGAGGGAAAGCTTCCAAGAACAATCGCGACATTCACACTGAGTCGAGCCAATCAACCTGTTTGCATCCGAACGGGCATGTTCGTCATTCTTTGAAGACCACTTGTTGACGTGAGATCCTTTTGGGCTCAAGACTCAAATGTGGCACGCCGACGAAAAATGCAACGACGTCCGCCACCTCGTTGAAAAGCGCACGGAGGCCACATTCAGAAGAAGAAGAAGAAGATTCCTACATTTGATTTCTAAGCGCCTTTCAAAACACTCAAGGACACTTTACAATCAAGAACAAAACCAATAAAACCACGGCTAAAATGAGAAATGATAAAAGGAGAGATGAGTTGAAATTGAGTATGCCATTTTGAATCGCTGGCTTTTGAGATGGGATTTGAATGTGGGAAGAGGCTCAATATTACGGATGTTGGGTGGAAGCGAGTTCCAGAGTTTGGGGGCGGAGCGGCTGAAAGCTGCGCACCCCGTCGTGCCCCGTTGCGACGACGACGACCGACGCGAATCAAAAATCTCCTGGCTCGGAATTGGCGCTCTCCGAATGGATCTCCGAGGTCGCTCGGCGAGGGGCGGGGACGCCGTCCGACCAATGCCAGGCGCTCGGCCCGTCCCGGGGCGCGTTCGGCATCACCGACGGCGCCGTCGAAACAAGGCGAGGTTCTGCAAACGCTCCCCCCCTGGCCAAAATGCCTCTGGGCTCAGTCGCCTCGCTTTGAGAGGCATTCGAGTGTCTTATCAGTCAGGACGTGCGGGGGAAACTCCACCCGGGTCTTCCTGGTGCACGCGCACTCTGAGCAGATTGTTTTGACGTCAAGTGCCTCATCCGCGCGCCGATGAATTTTAGTTTCCATCTTTTGCGGCGCAAGGCCGAGCCGTGTTGGTGGCGCGCGTTTGTGTAGGAGAGCCACGCTTGGACTTTTGCCGGCGATTCGTTTTGACCGGATT